TATATATGTATGTATGTATATATGTATATATATGTATGTATGTATATATGTATATATATATATGTATGTATATATGTATATATGTATGTATATATATGTATATATGTATATATATGTATGTATATATGTATGTATATATATGTATATATGTATATATATATGTGTGTGTGTGTATATATATATATATATGTGTGTGTGTATATGTATATATATATATATATATATGTATATATATATATATATATATATATATATATATGTATATATATATGTATAAATGTGTGTGTATGTAGTATATGTTTCTTTTTTTTTTTTTTCATCTAAATTATTATTGGAATTGTTCAACTAAGCTACATGTTTCTTACCACTTGTTGGAATATAGTTTGCAATCACTGCTTCTCCACCACCACCTTCCATCTTCTCTGTGTTGTGCCTGGCAAAGCTACACTTTATTAAACATAGAGTGGGGTGCTCCCCCGTGGGCTCATTAGTGAGATGGCCCCCATCAGCCTGGGGAAGGCTGGAACAGACTACTGTGCTAGTTCCCATATGGGAGGCCAGAGGATCCATTTTGCTGCTGTTTCACGTAGTCCCCTGGTGTTGAAAACCTGCTGTGATTTTCTATATTGGATTAACAGCTTGGTTGTTTAAGCTGTCAGTTATCATTATAGTTCCCTTATGGTTGAATATAGCATATCTGTAAAGTTAAGTGACCATGAATCATGGCTTCTTGCTGGTGGTACCTGCTTATAAAGGTGCACTAATCCTCTTTTTTTTGTGGTTCTGGTTTAATCCTGAGATCTGAATTTAAATTGTTGCAGATACATTTTTTTTTTTCAATCTAGAAAGAATGTTTTGTGTCTGTAGCTGTAAAGATATCTACCCACCATCTGTTCATCAATCCATAATAACCATAATGTTTAGTTTCTTAATCCACTATGGGGAAATTCATTCCGTCTTTTTTTTCCCATGGCTGCCATCTAAGGCAGCTGGAGGGTTAAAGGCCTTGCTCAAGGGCCCACAGTGGGGAAAATAAAGGTTAGAGGCAGATGTGGGTGCTTCACCTTTCCCACCCAAATTTGAGGTGCCAGTCTGGGAATTTGAACTGCCAACCTGTCAATCACAAGCTTGCTTTTTCTAACATCTGCACCACAACCCCATTCATGGACGACTCCAAATCTGTACGTACGTACGCCTGTACATACATACATACATTTGTAAATTTACTTTTTCTTGGTGGAATGTATGTAAACACACAACATTAGTGGTGAATTATGGCGCCGTCCCAAGAAGATTTTATATATATATATATATATATATATATATATATATATATATATATATATATATATATATATATATATATACACCTTTATTTAACCAGGAAGAAATCCATTGAGATCATCAATCTCTTTTACAAGGATGTCCTGGAAAAAATTGCAGGCAGGCGTCAGAAGTGCATTGTGTCAACTTTTCACCATATTGTTCTGCAGTAGTGCAGTAGTCAGAAACCCAAGCTGACTTAAGCTGCAGGAGATAAAGGAACAAAGTAACAGCACTGTACACAGTTTTAGGTTATAATTATAAATATAAAAGATATTTGATGTTGCTTCACGTTTATGTAATTTCCTCTTTGTGGGATTTTTCATTTTTACACAATTAACTTTATGCATTAGGTGTGAAACATATAAAAGATCACCAGACTTACTGTAATAAATCACAATGAAAATTATGTCACTGTTAAGGTAACTTTATTTTGGAAGGGATTTTATTGTGTCGCCTACCCAGGGAGAGCGGCGTCTTAGTGATGTAACACAGTGAAACACAATAATAAACTGACAGAGGCAATCACTTCTGTTGTACATCCTGTCTTTCTCCAAAATGCATTTTCTAAAGGGAAAAAAAAAACTAATTTCCTCAGCCACAAAGATTTCATTAGTTTGGGCCTATTGTCTGGACAGAAACAGCTATTCTCCACCCAGTCTACGGCGTGAGGGTACATACAGCAAACACACACAAATTCTTGAACACTAACACATGCTGATGCAAACTCGCATGCAACCCCTTCCCCAGTTTTTGTTGAAATAATGTCCCAACCTAATTTAGTTTGCCTTTTGTAATTACACTGGTTTTTGGGAGTTGCTTACTTTCTGCTCCATCATATTTTTCAAATATCCAGTTTTAGGTTAGTAGATTACCATTAAAGCCAGAAAAGGTGCCATCACTGTAGCAGTTTATTCTAAACAAAGAAATAAATGAAACATTTTGACCGAATGACATGCTTTAGTACTAGGATGCATCTGTATGAGCACTTGTATTTTAAAACTCACTTTGATATTTTGTGAACTTGGAGATAAGAGATTTATCACATGCGTGTTCAAACATTAGCCCATGGAAAGTTTAATGGAAACAATTTGCCATGCAAATATTTTATGTGTTTTATTTATTCATTCATAAATATGACCTTTCCTGACAAAGTCAAAAAATCCTTCTAAACTTTTTCTTTATTTTGTGAGAATGTTTTTCAAATGCTCCTTTAACCTCAAAATAACTACTACCCTCTAGTGTCCCTTGGAGAAAAAAAATGACCATAAGGAAATCCCATTATAAATGCATTTTCTGATCCCATAGTTATAAAATAATGCACTCCTCTCAGTCAAGTTTTTTTTTCTCTTTTTACCTCTGTCTCTATACTTTTGATTTGTATATTAGCTCTGTAGGTGGTGCTCCGCTTTTACATTTGAGAGCCTCTGTAAAAAAACCAATCACATCAAGTGTGAGACGATGTATGGGAGAATGGCTTACTCCCATTAGCTTGACTGAAATCAGGACATCAAAAGTGGATGCACAGGTCTGCAGCATCTGGAAGTATATCCGAGTCAGTAAAACAAAACAGAAACTGACATAGGGCACCCGTGTAAGTTTCACCAAAAACAAGGTGTAGTTTTCGGCTACATGTTCTGGAGGGTCTTCACAAAGTTCTCAAGTGGAAATTTTTTTTTTATTGTCAAAAAAATCCTTGAAGATACACTGATGGTGAAAAATTCCCACTTATGTTTATTTTTTTATAACTATAAAATAACAATTTTGTCCATTATTTATCAAAAACTGAAATGTGGATTTTTTTTTTGTTGTTTTTTTTTCCCCATTTGAACTAAAGGAGCTTAAGGATTTAAAATGTGGAAAAAATATTTTCAATTTGATAATTGTTTTTAGGCTGTTAACTCTAAATTATTGACTAGTTTAATGTAAAACACACAAACAAAAACAAATAGTATTTTTAGCAGTTAAGTAAGTTCCCCCCCCCCCCCCCCCCCCCCCCCACACACACACACACACAAGGACCACTAGCTGTCATAAAGTTAAGACCTTTTAGGGGTTAAGCACACTAGAATTTTTTGGCACACAGTATCACAAAATTACCTTTTTTTGTGCCTCAATTGTTGTACTGTAATGTCTTTCTTCATTATAATTTGTACTTGTTCAGGTTCAACAGGACTTTTGCACGTTGTTTTACTACAGATTTGGTTATGTCATTTGAATAAATTCTTACAAAAATAATGTATTTTGTAGTATAAAGTATTTAAAGGTTTTTTGTTTTTTTTCTCATCTGGTATTCTTTATAGTTCCTTTATTAAAAAATTATCTTCTTTTGTCAGGCGTTGTCAGTTGAACTACCATATTTCAGAAAATCATAGCAGAAGGGTTTATCTATTTGTCTTACAGGATGATGCTGTAGTTCATCACATGGCTGTGAAAACCATAGAGAACATCTCTGCAACTGTGTCAGGTCTTTCCCATCGCCTGGCTACCACAGAGACTGGCTCTGCCCTGTGGTACCTGTTCACCCACTCCACTGTGGAGGCTGTTCGAGTCGCAGCCATCTCTGTAAGTTCACATGCTAACATTCACATGTAGTCAAACATGCCATGTACCATCTGTAAAGGAATTAAAACGTATAAACAAAAGTAAGTTTTACAAGCTAAACATAGTTTTGAAGGCATGTATGTGTATAGGACCTCAAATTGAACCAGGCAAAAAAGAAACTCAAAGAGAAAGTCAGGCTATAATTGATGAGAAATTGTGTGTAAAATTTAAGAATAATTAATATCTTACATGTTCTATATTGCTCTTTGAATCAGTCTGAAGAAACAGAGTTTACATTTGATAGGACAAATGAACTAATGAATAATCTGAATGCAGCCAAAACAAAAGTGGATTGCAGCCATTTTAAAATATATCAATAGCTTTTCTTTTCAAACAATAAACCTGTACACCTTTGTCAGTTTTGTGCTGCATGGTAATAGTGGCAAAAATATCATGAAATCCCTGCCAGATTTAACCCTCGGCTACACCCTGCTGCTACTGCTGCCATTTGCGCTCACAAACTCCCACAGAATATGAGTAATGCAGAATTATTGGTGGTATAAACAGATCTCGTCTGCAGAACCTCACTTCAAAATGGCCAAATTGTACCTTTAACTTGATTTACATTGACTTACGGCATCATCTTCAATGCTGAGGAAAAATCTTCCATCACTCATTCAAACCCCAAAACTTTAAATAAATGCCATAAATCAGCAGACTAGGTATGGTTATTGATACATTTAGGGTATATAATGTTTTTACTATCACATTCTGAATTATATTTTAACTTTAACATTACTGTAAAGGCTATTAGGACTATATTTGGAAGTTATTTGGTGTCACATGATATGGGCTCTTTCCTTGTTTCTAAACCTTCAACACCAGAAACTTGAGGTTCTTTATGCTCTGTCTTTACACCAGAATAATACAATTCATGAATGGCTTACTGTATGTTACCTCACTATGAGCATGTTTATTTATCCATCTGTTTCCCCAGTCTCTTTCAAAGCTAACCAGGTTGGATCCAGCAGTCTTCTTGTCAGTGATTGACACCTGCGGCCCCACAGCCATCTTGGAGGGTGTAGGTGGAGCAGGGGCCAGGGTGCAGCAGCACCTGCTGACTGCTGTGGCCACAGCATTACTCACCTCACACATCCAAACGCACCACATCACACAGAATCGGGTATGCGCATTTGAACCACATCTACAATACAAGATCGCATTCACAAATGTCAAATTCCTTCAGACTACAAATCAGCTAAGCAAAGAATCCACCCCCAGCCACACACTCACCGCTATTCTGCTTTCATGTTGAACTGCTGAAACAGTTGTGATGACGTTTGATAGGAAATTCAGCTGCTAACATCCCTAATAGTTAGATTTTTAGAGGTTTTGCGAGTAACGTTACTGTTACAAATATTTCATACAACGGCTGTGGGAAGAAAACTTTCCTTAGCGAAATACACAACAAAACAAAAAACACAAAATATGCATTGTTCTTTTTCTGTCTGTGTTTATTGTGCCTCGATCACACAGTTCATGAACTAAAATTGAACCGTGAATGAACTAATTTGTAAGGAAATACTTATTCAGTTTTTCATCAGACATCCCATCCAGTGTGCATGTGATGTGCTAATCTTGGTAAAGCAGAGGAGCTGAAATTGATTTGAGGGTTTTTAACTGCGAGTATAGAATTGGTAATTAACTCTGAACTGAATTTATTTGCATTGAGCATTTCCAATTTAACAGTGGAATACAAACTTAGTACTTCAACTCTGCTCTAATTATAAACTGATATGCATTCACCCCCCACCCCCAAATCTCACCCTCCTTTCTCTCCCCTGGCACAAAGACAGACAGTCCAAGAATTTGTTTACAGAGAACTCTATCTGTTAGTGTGTGGATGTGTGCTTGTGTTTATGAATATGTGAGCATCGCTGTGTGAGTGCATGCACACAAAAGCACAAACTCTAATTTGTTGAGTGTGTCAGTATCTGGGCTAATTGGCTGAATTAAAACGCTGCAGTCGTCCACTTTAGCAAAGCATTATGGGTAGTGGGGAGGGACTTATCAGCTAAGCACACACTGTTGGGCTTTGAAATTAATTAACTCGGTGTGTCACACCATAAACACAGGCATGAACATGCTTTTACACACAAAAACCAACACACACATTCAGTTGTGTTCTGTGATAATGGTGGCTCTAATGAATCCTGGTCAGTCAGGTTTTTTCCTGCTGCTGAATAAACTGCAGTCTGGACCAGCTGTGCACACAGTGTATATATATATATATATATACATATGTATAATATATATATATATATATATATATATATATATATAT